GTTAACTGCGACAGAAATTTTGAGGATAGCCTCAAAATTTTAGCATGGGTTCATCTTCAAGTCCGGAGTGACTCTGAAAATGCCCCAGCGAATAATCAGATAAACCTCCAAGCATCAGTCTGAAAGAAGTTTGTTAATCCTGATATGACATGACTTGGCAGTGACCTTTTTCAGATACTATTTTTCAAAAATTTATTTCTCTTAAATTTTCCCTTTTATGTTTTATTTGTTTTGACATAAACTATTTTGTCTTATCTATCAAAGGCCGGAAGATCGAGAAATAAACCAGAGATAGTAGTACAAGGAGCAGACAACTGAACAAATCGACACAGATTAGTTTGTTTTTAACATTAACAATTTTTCTGTGGTCGCAGGTTTTATAGCTTTGCTATGAAATCAACAAATTCTTCCGATGGATGAGTATGGAGAAGTCAAAGGAAGAGAAAACTATCCAAAAATCAATAGTTTTCCTAGAAGCAGGAACGTTTTATATCGCTTATGTCTGAAACTTGGAAATATGAATTGTTTATCTCAATCAATTTCCAACAAAATGAAATTTATAAAGAACGTCCAGCTAGATTCGAAGGTGAATCAAGCGAAAATCTCAAGGAAGAGTTTATGGTTTCCGTAAAGGACATCATTTGCATTATAATGTCGGATATGATATTATGCATTACCTGGAGGGGTTAGTTATTTTATTTTCGATCAAGACGATATACTATCTGGAAGTTGTTTTAGCGTTATCATCATTGGAGATGATATGATTATCTAGAAATTACCCGCAAGATCAATGTGTTTCTCAATTGAAGCACTATCTTCATTTAGTACCAAGGATGACATCAAGAGTTAATATATGTGCATTGTAAGGAGATATTCATGCCCTACAAAAGATCATGCATCGCAATTCAATATCAATGAATCGTGGATGATCATGCATCACGAGTCAATATTCATGCATCCCGAAAAATCATGCATCGCAAGTTAATATCCATGCATTGCAGTAGGTCATCCATCGCGAGTTAATATCCAAGCACAGCGACAAGATTTCATACCTCGCAGAAATTTATGCATCGCGAGAAGATTTCATACCTCGCAGAAATTTATGCATCGCGAGAAAATTTCATACCTCTCAGAAATTTATGCATCACGACAAGTTTTCATGCCTCGTTAAAATTTATCCATCGCGAGGAGATATTCATGCATCGCAGAAAGTTATGCATCGTGAGAAGATTTCATACATCACAGAAATTTATGCATCACGGGAAGATATTCATGCCTCAGAAAAAGTCATGCACTGCCAGAAAAGGAAATCGTGCATCCCAAGAGAAATATTTATCCATCAGCATCAACTGCATTCTTTTATTTTGATAAAAGTAAACATCAAGAAGGTGCTTCGAAGACGACGTCAAGAGAAATACTAGCACACCGCATCAACTTTCCTTCAACTGAAGAATACATTGAAGATTATATTGCAAACATAAGACATAAGCTTTATTTTGATTTTCGTTAAACCGATTGAGTTGACGTTGAATGCCGAGGAGGACAACTAAGTGTCAATACAGTAAAAGACACTATCTCACATTTAAATTGCATTTTTATGCTGATGATTTTTATCTCAGTCTTTATCGACAACAACTGAAAGGATAAATTCTCCAAAACATAACTACAGGTTTGGACAACATCAAAAAGAATGCAACACAACGTGGAACTTTTTCTTAGCAGTGAAATGGGAGATAGTCCTAAGAGGAGTGTCAAAATCTTAGGATGCAAGTAGAGGAGGGACTTCCACCATAATCAAACAACACCCCTATCAGAAGGCATGTGGGTTTTTCTATGGCTTTTGTCAGTTTGGTTTTGCATCTGGAGTTTCGCTCTACCGGAAGCAAGTTTCCAATCTGAGTGCAGTGCACTAAAAGTTTTGGAAATTATGTCCGTATGAATTCTTTGCTATGGGTGTGAAGTGCATCACATTCATTATTATGAGGTTGCATTCCCCTTTTTCATACATGACTTTATTGGTCACTGTTTCGAAACCAAAGGCCATCTAGCGTAATAGATTTCCTTTTCAATTGATTGAGTCTAACTACAAGCAACCAGATTCCTAAGGTTTAAGGATATGTAGGCGGGCTTAATGTTGATGACTCGGCTGTATTCCAATATTTCCTGTTAATTATTTTTCCCTAGCATCCCGATTCCCTCATAATTCAGTATTGGGATGGCTTTTGATGTCATTCTAAATCGTTTGTTGAATCAATCTTATTGAACTACAAGTTGCCTCAATTCTCACATAGCCTGAGATATGTAGGAAACCCACTTCTGTGGTTCGACCATAATTCCTAAGGTTCGTATCGAAATCCGTGTCTCATAGATGAGTGTGCGGTCGGTCAAAATTATAACGGTCAATTTCATTATCTTCAAATTTCTTACATCAATCCGAGTAAAATGAGGAAAAGTTGTTCACACCCAATTTTGGCCCTCCCCGATATTGATTAATTAACGAGCTTCTCAATTCTAAATGATTTGAGATAATGAGATTCATAAAGTTTAAAGAATATATGCATAAAGAAAAATGGTTTTCAAGTTATTATAGGTTAATGTTGTTACATTTATAATTATAGATATCGTGTGTTTTGCGTAAACATATATAATTAAGATATTTTTATAAATATTTGAAAACTGTCAAAAAGATTTTGCTCAAAATTAAATATTTGGTTAATTAGTTTAGTTATTCAATAGTCCATATTTTAGATTAACTGATTTATCATTAACCAATCCTTTCAATCCATGTGAGAACGAATTTGGATTGGTTTCAACATTCCAATTCGTTTTCCTCCAGCCCAGCACTTCAATTCGCATCTCAAGTATAACCCAATTCCATCAACTGATCCAAATCAAATTCCCAGGCCCAATTTTAATCTAACTCCTTTTAATTCTTTCATTTCAAAACCTATTTTGTTTTAGGGAAATTTAGCTAACTAGTCAAAAAAATCAATTTATTTAGTGATAATATCTATACTTTAATAATATTAGTAAACAAGTCAGAAATGTCATTATTTTAAAAATAAATAATTATTCTGATATTATTAATATTTTCTCTCTCATTATTTACACCTTTTTTTCTCTCTCTCATAGCTTACATATTTTCCTATATTTATGCATAAATGGATAGATATTAATGTCATTTTAATTTTTCTCTCTCTTTTCTTAAACTTATCAATTTTCTCTCTTACTTTCTACCTAATCAAATCCCCAGATTTTTCTCTCTTTTCTTATTCTACTTTCAATCTCTCTCTAATATTCTTCCAAATCAATTTCACATATTTTTGATTCAATATATTGTTATTTTCTATTATTCTCATTTAATTTCGTAGCAAGATTTAGTTTGAAGATTAACATTGATTCGGGTATTATATTTTTCAGATTCCTTATTTATTTAATTACTGATTTTAGTGTTTTTTTTATTTCTTTAATTTTATTGTTGTTCTTAAAACATTTTTTAGGGTTTGAAACTACATAACTCTCTCTTCAATGGACGTTTTAAGAGAGTTACTAGAGGTATTGGAAAAAATAATCAACGTTCTTCCGATTTTCCATCATTTAATTTTTTTCACTCAAGAATTAAACAACAATGTAGGTTCCGCTTCTAAATCTAAGGAGGATATACGACGGGGAAAAATGTCTGGATCCGTCGATGTGCAAAATCCCATACAAATTCATAACCATGAAATTGAAGAAGGCCAATTTGTTGGAGAAGATGTTTTTTTTTTGCATGTTTTGTGTCTTGCATGTTTAGTTTAATTTGTTTATTAATTTTTAAGATTCAAAAAAGTTCATGTTGCAATGCGTTTGGAAGTGTATATGGAATTTTTATTATGTTATAGTTAGTATTTATTTTTGTATTTCATATATTTATTGTATTTCGTGTTCTGTTTTTTTTGTGTGTGTGTGTGTTATATGTCAATGTAACACATTATATGAGTTTCATTGTGTTTATTTCATAGTTTTGATGTTTTTTGTATTCATGATTTGGAAGTGTATATTGAATTTTGTTGTTGTTTTAGTCAGTATGTATTTTTGTATTTCATTGTTTTAGTGTATTTTGTATCCATAGATTTGGAATCATATTTCATATATTTAATTCATTTTGTATTCTGTTTTTTTGTGTGATAGTTATGTCAATGTACCACAGTTAGTATTTATTTTTGTATTACATAGTTTTATTGATTTTTGTATTCGTAAATTTGGAAGTATAAATTGAATTGTGGTACTGTTTTAGTCAGTATGTATTTTTACAATTAATAGTTGTATTCATTCAAAAATTATGTTGCATTGTTTCAGAATTTGACATTTATTTCTAATTTGTATTTATTCTAAAGATATGTCAAATAGTTATGTATTTTATTTAAGAATGAGTACACCAAATATTAAATTATTTCTTTTCAATTTTATATTTCATTCACTTTTTCATCATACTAATTTTTTGTTTTTTATATATTATTATACAAAATTCTAAACAAAAAGTAGAATAAATAGAAATACAAATAAAATACATATTGAAATGAATACATACAAGATTTTTTAAGAAAAAAATAACGATATAGGGAAGAAATATATGAAAATATAAATCTATTTCTTAAATGACTATATAGATAAATTCGGCATACCTATTGAAATGAATACAAACTAATAAAAAATTATAATAAATATAAATAGAATATATTGTGGAATGAATATAATTTTAAAAAGGTAAAAATTCTGGAGAAAAAAAAAGAATAAAATTTAAATTTATTTGAAAATTTAACTGATGAGAAAATTAAGATGCTTACTTTTTTTTTAAATATTCTCTCCCTTGATTTTCTACCTTTTGTTATTCAATATTTATATTTTTAAATAAAAAATAATAATAAAAACATAAATAAGATACATAACAAACTAAAATTTGACATTTTTCCTAAATATTGAAAAGTGTTGTTAATGAGCCTCTTAAATGCTAAAATATTGACATTTTGAAAAATTTCGCTTTGTTTTATCCGAGTAAAACCCAGACCAAATCCCCTTTAATTCCCGTCCAATTCGACCCGGCCCACTCGCCCCTTCGCCCCATTTAGTAGAGAAAAGCAACGCTGAACAGTGATCCAAAAACGCGGAAGAGCATCGCACGTGAATAGTTAACCAAACGAATTATGCTCCTTCTCCAGTCTGGGGTTTTCCTTTTCTCGTACGATTCCTACAACTATGGCAGGTTCCCACCACGCGTCGTGCTGGAGCTTTGGAATTGAGCCATATTATATCCAAGGACGAAGAAGGTGATCCCAATCGTCCACCTTATATTTCTATCCGTTCAATTGGAGGATCGTTTGGGAATTTTAAAGATTTTTGGGACAAATTTGAAGGAATTTCAAACCTTTGGTTGAAAACTTAGTTTTGCCCTTGTCCTTTTCCTCCTAAAAGATGAACCCTAATTCACCCCCCTATATATATTTTGGTATCTCTAGTGTTCTGTGGGGAATTTTTTTTTAGGGTTAAAAACAATTATTGTGCGAAGCTTTTGTGTGAAGAGTAAAATAGCCTGCAAATTATACAACAAATACATTCGCAACAAATATCATTGTGATTTTGGTCGTTTTGTTCGCTAAATCCAAAGAGTGATCTCGATCGGGTGTCTAAGGTGTGAAGGTGGTCGTTCTTCCGTTCGTCTTGTCACCAGCTTTGCCGCCCCGTTAAAGGTAATACCCTTTTTCATACGTAGAAACCTCTTCGTCTCATTCTCATGCTCTCCTCGATGTTTCAGTTATTTATATCGAAACAATGTCCTTTGTCATTGTTTTGTCTTAGCTGTTAAGTTGATAAGATTTGATGCAGGTTAGTATGGAACTAACATTGTGTGTTATGCCAGTACCTTGTATTTCTGTTTTCTTCGTTGAGACTCGCCTATTTTATATATACAATTAATTTAAAAGCTTTGGGTTTGTCTGTTTCCCCCATCCTGCTACTGCACAGGGTTTCTCATTTAGTCAAAATAGCATCAGAGTGTAGAGGCTACTGGACATATATTTTGTAATTTATCTTATATGTATGGAAGCTTGTTTTGTTTTGTCATGTTCTCTTATGATGTACCTTGTTTATCCCGTTATCATTTGCATTTTTTTTACCTGTCAATGTGTCATACTTGTTGAAATATGCCTGTATTCGTTTCTTTTTTAGTTTCGATCATTGCTTGAGTCCTATTGGTAAGCATGTCATTCCAATTCCTCACATTTGTCGGTATTAATTTTCTTGCTACCTATCGTTCGCTTTTCTTAATATGTTATAAATCTGCGTTAGAACTTTGTCCCCTTTATGTGAGCTGCGCGCAATCTAGAATACAAGCAAGTTGCTTTTCTGGTTCAAACACCTACTCATTTAGAATCGTATGCTATTTTCAAAATGATAAATTTGATAACTTGAGTTTGAAACGTTTGCCTTGGCAGAGTGTGACTTTTTCTTATCTTCATTATTCAGCAGTTTTGGAATTTTTTAGTGGTTACCCTTGTTAGTTGTGATTTTTAGATTTGGCCATACCAATATGTTTGTTGTGTCTTTACATTTAAGCCTATTCGCCTCATCTTTTCTTATAAAATCTGTCCCGTTAAGGCTTTGTTTTGTAATATTAATATAAAATCCGAGCCTTTCATTAAAACAAGAACATTGGCCAGTGCCACTTTGTCACATGAATTGGCCTATATTATTTTAGCACTCTGAAGAATGGGTGGGTTATATGCTCTTACATTGTTTTTGTTTTGATAAAAAATAATTCCGATTAGTTAAGTCACTGTGTAGCCTTGCCATTAGCTTTCACTGATGAAGTCTTGTTCTTTATAATTAAAGCTTTCTGTGCTCTATTTCCCTTTCGATTTTTATTTAAAAATATGTGTCATTTTGTTTTCTCATTTCTTATGAACTTTCACGGGCACTACTTATGTTCTTCTCTCTGTTTTGCATGTAAAATTTGCATCGAGTTCGCCATTGAACTCCCACTTTCCCTCTTTCGCAATTCGGAATGAGCTGCCAAGGCTCAAATTCCTTCATCAACTCTCACAACCTTAAAGTCGACATACAGGTCTCGAGTTGGAAGGATTCAAAAATCAGGAAGTCGAAGATTTGAAGAAGTTATGCCAAAGGACATCCACTTTATCTTCTTTCATATTTGTATTTTGTTATTTTGGGCCTAAGCCCTTGTCATTTTTTATTTTCTTGTATTTCTTATTTATTATTATTATATGTTTAGTCTAGGACAGGTACGAAAGAAACTGGGTCGAATACCCAAAAGTCAAATGGGTCGAAAACCAAAGACAGGCGGGTCGAAATACTGGTAAAGGCGAACAGTAAGCCCGGATTTGGACCCAAATGTCTCTCTCTGTCTCTCTCTTTACTTGCTTTTATTTGCTTATATGATTTTCCTTGTCGTTAGTTTTAAAGGTTAGGAAAATCTGATTCCCCGAAAAATGCCACTTTGGTTTTAACGACTCGATCAAATCAAGTAAACGACTTAAAAAATTTTCAAATTAAAATCCACTTAGGTGAATAATTTTTCATTTTCAAAAAGCAATCTTAAATGATTTTTGCGTTTATTTTCAAATAACTCTATAAAATATTTTATGTCAAGGAAAATTAAGTAAGTTGTTGGATAACTGCATTTAGTGGACGTCTTAGGTGGTTTTAAATCTTCCTAAGACGTTAATAGGAATCACCGAATCCCTTTAAAATTATTTTCAATTGATTCTTCTGTTAAGTCATTTGAGAATAGAGTTTTCTTGATCTTTCTCAAAAATTAAGTGGCGACTTTATAAAAATCGATAACATTATAAAAAACATAATTTTCCTTCTCCATATGAAACAACTATGAACGATTGGATACATATTTTCCTGATGAAGAGATTAAATCAATTGAAGAAGTAGGATGAAGTATTTATTTAGGCCTGACAATTGTACGTTGATGGAGCAATCAACGCAAATAGTACAAGGCTAGGGGTGATTCTCATATCGCCTAAAGGACAACATTACCCTGCAATATCTTCACTTTGTTTTTTAAGTGAAAATAACACAACAGAGTATGAAGCTTGCATCATGGTCCTAAATATGGCAATATACTTAGGCGTGCAAGAATTGACTGTGTTGAGAGATTTTGATTCACTTGTTAGGCAAGCTCAAGGCGAATGGAAAACTCTAGACCTCAAACTTCTTCCATACCGACAATGTCTGGAATATCTTAGCAAAAGGCCCAGGTACATTGAGTTTAGACGCATCCCAAGGTTTCATAATAAATTGACAGATGTCTGAATGCTTCCATATCCTCGAAATACTTACATCACTCCCTTGGAGATTTAGGTTTGGGACCGACATAGCTATTGCATTACATTGGAAGCAGAACCAGATGGTTAGTCATGGTACCTAGAGATCAATAAATTTCTAAAGACAGGAAGATGCCTCGAACATTCCAATGGAAGACAAAAAAGAACTATTAAATGTCTGGCTAATGGTTTATTTTTGAGGGGGGACGTTTTATATAAACGAACCCCGGATCTGAACTTGTTGAGATGTATAGACGCTCAAGAAGTCGAGAAGATCACAAGTGAAGTACATACTAGGGTATGTGGACCACACATGAATGGATATGTCATTGCAAAAAAGATACTTCTAGAAGGATATTACTGGCTTATCATGGAGTAGGATTGTTTACGCTTCGTGAAAAAATGTCATCAATATCAAATTCATGGTGATCTTATTCATTCACCTCCTTTAGAGCTGCACCCTATGGCCGCTCGTTGCACCTTTTGTTGCATGAAAAATATATGTCATGGACTAATTGAGCCAAAAAACCTAATAGACATCAGTTCATTTTGGTTGCAATTGATAACTTTACCAAATGGGTGGAGGCGATCACTTTTAAAGCAGTCACTAAGAAGTCGGTCGTAGATTTTATCCGTTCGAACCTCATTTGTCGATTTGGTATCCCAATAACTATCAATACAAATAATGTTGCAAAGCTTAATAGCAATTTGATGAAGGAGGTATATGAGCAATTCAAAATTGTGCATCACAATTCTACTCCATACCGATAAAAGCCAATGGAGTTGTGGAGGCAGCCATCAAGAATATCAAAAAGATTCTAAGAAGGATGGTTCATGGACCAGACAATGGCATGAGAAGTTCCCTTTTGCACTTTTAGGATATCGCACAATAGTGCGCACCTCGTTTGGTGAAACTCCTTATTTGCTGGTTTATGAAACAAAGGTTGTCATTCCAGCGGAAATCAAAATTCTATCTCTTCAAATTATTGTCAAGGCCAAAATTAAAGATAATGAATGGGTCAAAACCTGACTAGAGAAGCCCGCATGAATACATGAGAAACAATTGACGACTGTCTATTTTGGTCAGCTTTATTAGCAAAGGATGACTCTTGCATACAACAAAAAGGTGCACTCAAGGCACTTTGAAGTAGGTCAACTGGTCTTAAAGCATATTCTCCTGCACCAAGAAGAAGCCAAGGGAAAGTTTGACCCAAATTTGGAAGATCCATATCTTATCAAGGATGTGTTGTCCAAATGATCCTTGCACCTTACTAATGTGGAGGGAAAAGTTAATACAGACGCAGTAAAAATATACTACATCTAGTACATTCTAAGATACTACGATAAGCTTATCGTTGGGAGAACAAAGACATCTCTTCAAAGAAAAAATAAAAAAAAATCCCCTGTTAGAAAATTTAAACTACGTTTGACCTGATTCCAAAAGGATAAGTAGGCAATCCTTTGTGGTTCTGTCTTACCAAAAAAATCAATATTCCATTATCTGCAGAAAACTGGGGCATTTTTTTAATTTTTGATAAAATAGTAGCAAATTGTAATTCTATTTATGATTTTATCCTAGCAATCAACATTTTGATCAACTATTAAAATGATAGATTCAATGAGTGTTTCATGGATAATTGATCATCAAAGACAACATTGTTGAGTTAGAAAAAAAAAGAAAAAATTTCAGAGTGTCTGATCGGTGAAAACCTTCATAGGCATCATAAAACGATAAAGAGAAGATCTCATTGTTGAAAGCCCTTGTGGGAACCTTAAAAAGAAATGAGAGAGCATCACAAAAATGACTAATGGAAGAATCTGCAAAGATGACCATTTTTTGATAGCTCTGCATGAAGGATACATTGATCAGCTTTAAATTTATAATGATTTAGATTGTGAGAACTATATAAGTCAAATGGATCAGGGGTGAAGTTCAAAGTGCATGTCATTGTTCACTCAAAGTCCACATATGCATCAAGATAAGTTATCTTTCTCATTTTTCTTTGAAAATGAATATTGTTCTTTAAGTGTATAGTCTTTCTTTATCCAATCTTTCACACTATTAAGTCTAATATTATTCTACTCTTTTCGGTATAATCTCTTGATAAAATAAAGTTAACGAGTGCAAAGATTACTGTGATTTTCCAATGGTTAAGTTGAGTGTACGAGTTGACATACCATCGAGCAAGGACTAAAACCGTCTCAGATCTTCATCAAAAACTCGTGAAGGAACACGATGTATTTTCTTATGTAATGAAAAACTATTCAGAAGGAGTTTCATCCTTTGGGACATCAATCGTACCATGAGGTTTGGTAATACCATGTTCAAGGCCCATGAATTGTCAAATAGAAATCTTTGAAGGTTGTTCAATCAAGGATTTAGAGTAGAGTCAGAGAAATTGGTTACGAGTATGGTTAATTCATTAGAGAATCAATTCCACAAACCAACCACCACTTCAAACTAACAATTTTGTTTTTATTTTTCTTAACACGGACGAAAAGAAAATATGGGATTCCAAGTAAAAAATGAAACATCGCAAAAGGAAAGTTCTCCAAAGTCTTCACATGTTTGTTGTTTCATCTCATGCTATTCACATTGTTGCCTCTCAATTCGAGAGATTTTGGAAATACGCACCAAACTTAATTTCGTGCAATATGCACATGTCCTTTATTCATGTGTATTACGCATCATCATTTATTCATGTGCAATACACACCAGCCTGAATTTCATGCGATATGCACCAATCTGAATTTTGTGCAATACACACATGTCCTTTATTTATGTGCAATATGCACCATCCTTTATTCATGTGTAATATGCACCAGTGTGAATTTTTTGCAAGATGTACCAATCTAAATTCCGTTCAAATATGTACTCATCCTTCATTCATGTGTAAAACGTACTCGCCTTTCTTTCATGAGCAAGACGTATCAATCCAAATTCCATGCAATACATATTGATATTGCATTCATGTGCACACTATTCTCCTTTCATGTGCAATGCACACAAGTCCTTATTCACATGCAATGCACATCAATTCTATATTCATATGCAATACACCATATGCATAAACTGGGCAATACACAGCAACATTCATGGGCTATGCACACCCTATTAACATATTTGGGTGATATACACAATCTTAGGTCGATCTAGAAAGAAAATACATCCTATTTGAATCCCTCAAGGCAATCGCCTCAATTCTCTTTTTCTTTCTAGGGTTATACGTCCTAGTTCAAGATTCTCATTTTTTTCCTCCCAAAAGGAAACACATCCTTTTTGTGCTCGTCATTTTGTGATAGTCAGTTTTGCGTTTCAGTTGCCAACTCAAGTTAAAACATGCACATGAGAATGATTCACAAGCTGCCAAGAGAGCGTGAAGATCAATCTAAGAGGTAATGCATAGAGCAAGTTGAAGATCAAGATGAGACCCTAAGAATAAACATCAAGTAGGGTTCTTGTAACTCTTATAATGTAGAGAATCATAATTCCCTAACTCTTTTCTTTGTAGCTATAGACAGTAGATGATGAAAAACAATATGAAGCGATCTTTTGAACATGTTCCTTATAGTTTCGGCTATCGAAATTTCTCAAACTACACTAACCTGATTTCCCTTACACAAGGATATGTATGCCACCTCTGAAGCACGGTTTATCTTTTACAAAAATGTATTTTTCGGAGTTTGAAACAGTAAAAATTTGCCACTCCATTCACTTCCGTTGCTTGAAAACACTTCATGTTTCCAAGCAAAGAAGGGTATTTTTTTAACACCTAATTTTTGACGTGTTTATTTGACTCCTATAATATATAGTAATGTATTTTCTTATGTTTTGTTTATATTTTTTTGTTTATTTGTCTTTGTTTGTATTATTTTTTAAAATTGACCCAAATGACCCAATTTTGTTTGAATTAGGCTGATTTGGACCAATTTCTAATAGCCTAATCAATTTTGACACAGTCCAATAGAAATGGTTAAGATTGAATCTCAACATTCATAATATTTTTATCCAAGAGCTCTTATGTCCGTTGGTGGTCTCCAATGTTTCACCGAAAAAATCTCCAAATATTTACTCTCTTCCTTTCACCCTCTTCTAGACAAATA